CTGATGCTTTGGTGGTATTTGCAAGCTCTGCATGCATCTGTGGATTTTGAGGGAAGTTACCGCAGTCAGTACTTGTCTGCTGCAGTGAGCATTGCTGACATTTTGGGTACAGCTGTTACCACGCTCCCAGCTGCATATCCAGAGATTTCGACCAAGACAACATTCTCCAGTAACAGATAAGCACAAACAGAAAAACTGTCAAAGGTTACTGGACACCAGGTGTCCACTTCCTGGTATTAGCACCAAGGGAGATTTGCTAAATCCCTTCCCCAAAACATAACTAAAGAGCCATAGAGCTCTTCCAAAGGACAATGCTGATGTTGTACTTTTCAAGAGCGGACTTCTCCTGTATAAGGATAAGCTACTTCTTAACATCTCAGTGTTAATAGATTAAGAAGAACAGCATTAAGAGGCACACCCTGAACAAGTTACAAATTTCAAACCCAGCTGCCATGAACCCTTGCTCCTGAAGTTAGGCATGGTAGAGTGCAGCCACACATACCAGGAACAACCAAAGCACTTACTGGTAGCCAAGACCAGTCCACTTCTGTCATGTGCTCCCAAAGCAGCCTAAGCATGGAAACAGATTTGCGTGTTTGATGGAAACTGAGGATGGGAAACACTCTTATCATATCCATTGAAAAACTAAAGTAATTTTATTTTCCACAGACAAGGAAAAGAACAGCAGTGAATTCTCCATTTAAAAAATGTCTAGACATTTCTGATAATGTCTTCAAGTCTCCGTGGGAAGTACACATTTACAGTGAACCAGGATAGGATCAACTGATATACTAAAGAATATACTTTAAAGAAATTAAATTCCTGATGTCACTACTCTCCTTTCAAAAGCTGAGTTTATGAGAAGCAGATAGGGAAACCTGTTAAGTAGCTAATCAGCTAAAAATGGTTCACCCAGTACCAGTAAAGCACCAGTATTTGACAAGCAGAAGACTGATCAGCTCGTCACGGGCACAAACAAGTCATTTGCTGGAGAGGACAACAGTGTGCAAGTTTCCAGTACTCACTTTCCACAATATGTCAATTACAAAATATATGGGCAAGCCAGGAAAATCAACTCAACACATAATTTATCTGGACACTGTGGAAAAAGCCTGGAGCAACACAAAGGGGATGGCAAAATTTGTTGCTACACTAAAAATGGTAGCAAGAGTGTGCAAGGCTTTTTTCTACTCTTGTAAGACTCTGGAATTGTGACCTCCAATAAAGAGAACTCACATGCAGGAACTGACAGGTTAAATCCACTGCACCACTATGGTCTGTTGGTTTTCCTTGATTACCTGGTCAGCTAATAAAGCAGCATGCAAGTATTGCAGTGGTTTTTCTTTGCATTATACCCACCTCCCAAAATACTTACAAAGCAAATGAAAAAGTAGAAGAGAAAAAAAAGAAAAGTCATGCTTACAAAATTATATTCACTACTCAGGCTCCTCAAAGCATGAGCAGAAAAAAAAGAGTCAGAGACTAGTAAGGGATGGTTCATGCTTTCAAGGACACACTGCTTCAGCATAACAAACATCATCAGCTTTTTCTGGCTACAAAATATAGTTAAAATTGCCTGGAACCTTTTTGGCACTGTTGGGCGGACAAATGTACCTAAACAAGTTTATGAAATGGCATGCATATGGATCACTCAAGAGATCAGAGGGATACTGGGGTCCAGGCTGCTGGATGTTAGACTGGGTGGAATGACATGTAAGTCACCCCTTCATCATAAAGCTGCTGTGAATCCGACATTTAGGATTTGGGGCAGCCACTTGTCACTGTTTGGACAGGGAATATCCAAGTATCTTTTCAGCCATGAAAACAAGTGACACTTCAACTGCTATTACTCCATACTACCAGCAGTTGTCATATCTCAAGTTTTCATGAGCCTGGAAAAACGCACCTGCCGCCAGACTCAAACATCCCATGGTAAATTGTAAATACTGCTGAACTACCCAAGACAGGGCAGAATCTCAAATTGCCTCACCCAAAGAGCATAAACAGAAGACATTAACAACATACAGTGCTACACAGCTTTAGCATAGAAGATTGAAAGATTGACCTCTTTCAGGTCTTTCGCAGATATTAAGGAAACATAACAAAAATTCAGACTTTCATTACACACATTCACAAAGTCAAGACAGATTTCTAATTGCGGTGAAAGGTGAGGTACACGAGTGCTCCTTCAGGGTAGCAGCAGGATGATCTGATGATGGACTTCAGCTCCTGTAACCTCTTGTCAAATGACTGTTGGATTCTACTCTGAGCTCAATTTATTTTCTTTTTTAAATTAATGGAGCAAACACCTTCAACAACCAACTCATACCACCTGTCTTTGGCTGAGATGACCACAAGGAGATGACACTAAGGTGAAGGAACATGAAACCATCCCAAATGAAGGCAACAAGCCTGGACCACCCATTTCTCTGTAGCTAGACAAGCCAAAACAAATATTCCTTCCACTATTAAAACAAAATAAAAATAAATGGACTTCTGACAAGTTAGTTCATGTCAAAGCTGATCCAGAAAGTACTGCCTGTCTTTTGGCTGCTTTTTGGGCTGTAGTGCAGGCTCCACAAGTTTGCTGGGGTGTACAGAAAGCAACCACCTGGTGACAAATCACCTATCAAAGAGCTGTAACAAGATTTACATCTTGTTCTGACTTCAGCA